CATAGGTGTGGGCGACATACCTGTTGAAGGCTTTTTTACTACAAATTTAACTTATTATATTTTTTGATTGAAGGATTTAAGATTGAACTTCAAAACAAATACAGATAGTTTTAACCATCATTGAGTAACACTTTTGGCAAAAAAAATTTCAAATATTTTAACTACAGTGATTGAACGGGTTGAAAACTGTTTTAAACGACAATTCTATTACATAGATTTTAAGGTAGTAGGAGCTTATTTTTTCTTTTGCAAATGGGCGCAACTATATATTTATATACTGGTCTCAACGTTGATACAAAGAAAATTCGGAAAATATTACTTTTTACTTACATAGGTGTGGGCGAAATACCTGTTGAAGGCTTTTTTACTACAAATTTAACATATTATATTTTTTGATTGAAGGATTTAAGATCGAACTACCAAACTAATACAGATAGTTTAGACCATCAATGAGCAACACTTTTGGCAAAAAAAAATTTCAAATATTTTAACTACAGTGATTGAACGGGTTGAAAACTGTTTTAAAACGACAATTCTATTACATAGATTTTAAGGTAGTAGGAGCTTATTTTTTCTTTTGCAAATGGGCGCAACTATATATTTATATAGTGGTCTCAACGTTGATACAAAGAAAATTCGGAAAATTTTACTTTTTACTATAATAGGTGTGGGCGACATACCTGTTGAAGGCTTTTTTACTACAAATTTAACTTATTATATTTTTTGATTGAAGGATTTAAGATCGAACTTCCAAACTAATGCAGATAGTTTAGTACATCATTGAGTAACACTTTTAGCAAAAAAAAATTTCAAATATTTTAACTACAGTGATTGAACGGGTTGAAAACTGTTTTAAAACGACAAATCTGTTACTTAGATTATTACATAGTAGGAGCTTATTTTTTCTTTTGAAAACGGGCGCAATTATACATTTAAATAGTGGTCTCAACGTTGATACAAAGAAAATTCGGAAAATTTTACTTTTTACTATCATAGGTGTGGGCGACATACCTGTTGAAGGCTTTTTTACTACAAATTTAACTTATTATATTTTTTGATTGAAGGATTTAAGATTGAACTTCAAAACAAATACAGATAGTTTTAACCATCATTGAGTAACACTTTTTCCAAAAAAAAATTTCAAATATTTTAACTACAGTGATTGAACGGGTTGAAAACTGTTTTAAAACGACAAATCTGTTACTTAGATTATTAAGTAGTAGGAGCTTATTTTCTCTTTTGCAAACGGGCGCAATTATATATTTATATACTGGTCTCAACGTTGATACAAAGAAAATTCGGAAAATTTTACTTTTTACTATCATAGGTGTGGGCGACATACCTGTTGAAGGCTTTTTTACTACAAATTTAACATATTATATTTTTTGATTGAAGGATTTAAGATCGAACTACCAAACTAATACAGATAGTTTAGACCATCAATGAGCAACACTTTTGGCAAAAAAAAATTTCAAATATTTTAACTACAGTGATTGAACGGGTTGAAAACTGTTTTAAAACGACAATTCTATTACATAGATTTTAAGGTAGTAGGAGCTTATTTTTTCTTTTGCAAATGGGCGCAACTATATATTTATATAGTGGTCTCAACGTTGATACAAAGAAAATTCGGAAAATTTTACTTTTTACTATCATAGGTGTGGGCGACATACCTGTTGAAGGCTTTTTTACTACAAATTTAACTTATTATATTTTTTGATTGAATTATTTAAGATCGAACTTCCAAACTAATACAGATAGTTTAGACCATCATTGAGCAACACTTTTGGCAAAAAAAAATTTCAAATATTTTAACTACAGTGATTAAACGGGTTGAAAACTGTTTTAAAACGACAAATCTGTTACTTAGATTATTAAGTAGTAGGAGCTTATTTTATCTTTTGCAAACGGGCGCAATTATACATTTAAATAGTGGTCTCAACGTTGATACAAAGAAAATTCGGAAAATTTTACTTTTTACTATCATAGGTGTGGGCGACATACCTGTTGAAGGCTTTTTTACTACAAATTTAACTTATTAAATTTTTTGATTGAAGGATTTAAGATCGAACTTCCAAACTAATACAGATAGTTTAGTACATCATTGAGCAACACTTTTGTCAAAAAAAAATTTCAAATATTTTAACTACAGTGATTAAACGAGTTGAAAACTGTTTTAAAACGACAAATCTGTTACTTAGATTATTAAGTAGTAGGAGCTTATTTTATCTTTTGCAAACGGGCGCAATTATACATTTAAATAGTGGTCTCAACGTTGATACAAAGAAAATTCGGAAAATATTACTTTTTACTTCCATAGGTGTGGGCGACATACCTGTTGAAGGCTTTTTTACTACAAATTTAACATATTATATTTTTTGATTGAAGGATTTAAGATCGAACTACCAAACTAATACAGATAGTTTAGACCATCAATGAGCAACACTTTTGTCAAAAAAAAATTTCAAATATTTTAACTACAGTGATTAAACGAGTTGAAAACTGTTTTAAAACGACAAATCTGTTACTTAGATTATTAAGTAGTAGGAGCTTATTTTATCTTTTGCAAACGGGCGCAATTATACATTTAAATAGTGGTCTCAACGTTGATACAAAGAAAATTCGGAAAATATTACTTTTTACTTCCATAGGTGTGGGCGACATACCTGTTGAAGGCTTTTTTACTACAAATTTAACATATTATATTTTTTGATTGAAGGATTTAAGATCGAACTACCAAACTAATACAGATAGTTTAGACCATCAATGAGCAACACTTTTGGCAAAAAAAAATTTCAAATATTTTAACTACAGTGATTGAACGGGTTGAAAACTGTTTTAAAACGACAATTCTATTACATAGATTTTAAGGTAGTAGGAGCTTATTTTTTCTTTTGCAAATGGGCGCAACTATATATTTATATAGTGGTCTCAACGTTGATACAAAGAAAATTCGGAAAATTTTACTTTTTACTATCATAGGTGTGGGCGACATACCTGTTGAAGGCTTTTTTACTACAAATTTAACTTATTATATTTTTTGATTGAATTATTTAAGATCGAACTTCCAAACTAATACAGATAGTTTAGACCATCATTGAGCAACACTTTTGGCAAAAAAAAATTTCAAATATTTTAACTACAGTGATTAAACGGGTTGAAAACTGTTTTAAAACGACAAATCTCTTACTTAGATTATTAAGTAGTAGGAGCTTATTTTATCTTTTGCAAACGGGCGCAATTATACATTTAAATAGTGGTCTCAACGTTGATACAAAGAAAATTCGGAAAATTTTACTTTTTACTATCATAGGTGTGGGCGACATACCTGTTGAAGGCTTTTTTACTACAAATTTAACTTATTAAATTTTTTGATTGAAGGATTTAAGATCGAACTTCCAAACTAATACAGATAGTTTAGTACATCATTGAGCAACACTTTTGTCAAAAAAAAATTTCAAATATTTTAACTACAGTGATTAAACGAGTTGAAAACTGTTTTAAAACGACAAATCTGTTACTTAGATTATTAAGTAGTAGGAGCTTATTTTATCTTTTGCAAACGGGCGCAATTATACATTTAAATAGTGGTCTCAACGTTGATACAAAGAAAATTCGGAAAATATTACTTTTTACTTCCATAGGTGTGGGCGACATACCTGTTGAAGGCTTTTTTACTACAAATTTAACATATTATATTTTTTGATTGAAGGATTTAAGATCGAACTTCCAAACTAATACAGATAGTTTAGACCATCATTGAGCAACACTTTTGGCAAAAAAAAATTTCAAATATTTTAACTACAGTGATTGAACGGGTTGAAAACTATTTTAAAACGTCAATTCTGTTACTTAGTTTATAAAGGATTAGTTTAGAAAGGAAGAACATTTTTGGCAAAAAAAAATTTCAAATTAAAAAACTTTGTATTTTTTAAAATAATCGTGAAAAACAAAAATAAATTTAAATTTGTGAAATTTGTTTGGTACCTAACGTTTTTTAGTCCGTCATCCCATGGATTATATTTCATTAATTTTAATTAAATTATACGTTCTGTAAAAATTCTTTAAAAGGTAATACAAGTTTTTATTATTGCTATCTAAAAATATTAACGGTACATAGTCACGATTATTTTTATACCTAAGCATTTAAAGTCCAAATTTTGTCAAAACCATAATTAATAATTTGTAGCTTAAAATTTATAAGATATTAAATTTATATAGTTAAGGGTTAAAAATGGAATACAAGGTCTCTCTTACGAGCAGTTCATACTTTTACCAAAAAATTATTGATAATTTTAGGTTTCGGGGTGCCGCCACTGGGTTACTGCCCCCTCCCGCTAATCATCCCCATCCCATTTACTTATTGTAATACATGTAATTATAGATTGTAAATAACATTTTTTTGTTCAATAAAAAAAAAAAAAAATTTTAGGAAAATTTTTATGCACATACGATGTTTATGCAAAAATTAATTCATCCTGGTAAGTCGTATATTAATGCCAATTAATAAGTAAGCAACATCTTGCTTACTATATGTAAATTACTATAGTTGAAATATAATAAATATTTTTTTTGTAAATTAATCATAGCACTGGGGGCTTCATCAAGCATACCGAGGGGGGGCTTCATTGCAGGTGCTTGAAGATCATAAACATGAATATTTTATGAAGATAATGTTGTATTGGGTGGGGGAGGAATGTTATTCACAGTTAAGAGTTAAGACCTTATTATACCTAAATATATAAATTAACTGTTGCCCATACGAAAAGGTAATCCTAGAAACGTGCCTAGTTGTACCTATCATTGGTTTTATAATATACAGTTGCCAATCGAATTTATTCAAACTAATATTAACATTGTTATTCATTTTTAATATAAATGATCTATCAATTTATATAAAATCAATTTTTGATGATCATTAGTATCAAATATCGTAGCTTTAAATTATTTGGTTTTTCAGGGCTGTTGTGCGTTTAGCTGATTTGAACTTAAAACCTAAAATGTATGCTGGAGGTGCAGCAATAGAAGTTGCAATTTTACGTGTCATAAGACACGAACTATATAACGTACATGATGTGACCAATGATATTGCATTATTAAAATTAAACAACAGTGTTGGATTCAATCGTAAGTATTTCTTATATTTACTAATTATTATTTTCTCTAATATAATACATTTCTTAACGCTATATAAATCCCTGGGGGTGTCAAAACATCTATTAATTACATTATTATAGAAAAAAAAGAAACGTTTAGTTAACATTTCTTTATTGAAATAAATCGTCAAAGAATAAGTGTTTCATGTAAACGAAAAGCTACTGAAAATCTACACATTTATAAATGTATTACTGAATATAATATATTTTTTTAAAACTGCGATGACTACAAAAATAATAACTGGAAATTTGTATTATAATTTATAACTGTAAAAATGTATGTTTGAATGAGTACTTTTTAAAAACTTTTGCTATTACTTTTTACAAAAAATTTTGTAGTACCTAAGTGGATGTCGCTCTATTGTACAGTAAGTTACTAGTGGGTCAATGTATAATGGATTGTATTTAACTTGAATTCAATGATATAATATCATTGTATAAGAAAAACGATTCTGAGAGGATCCGGTTTGTCGGTCTGGATATTTTTTATATTGTTATTATTTATTATAGCCTTTAAATTGAATTAATATTATAATATTATTTTTTTTATTCGTTTCTATAGTGATAAACAAAGCGTTTGAAATTAAAATCCCGTTTTTAGCGGTTTTTCGTAATTTGTAGGTGATTTTTCTCATTTCATTAAATAACTATTGAGAAAATCGAAAAATGACTTACCTAATGTTCCATCTTGATGTACAGGTAAAACAAAATAAAGTTATTATAAAGTTATAATATTATGTAGGCATATAGCAAGTTTTAGTTAGGTACCCGTACCTATCATCATTTTAGATTCTGAGCTGAGTGATCCCGTATATCCGGAACTTTCTTGAAATAAGCAGTTATAATAAAAATAATAACTAATTCAACAAATAAAACAATGTTTATATTATAAATGATTTCACTAAAATTCTCATTCAAAGAAATATTGTATGTTTTTCGTACTTTGTCGGTGGTTTTTTCCGTGGCATACTAACATTAAATAACTATATTGAAAAAATCGAAAAATGACCTCCCTAATAAACCATCTTGATTCAATTTGATAAATGATTAGGTACTATATGTTGAAATCAAAACACCTCTCCTGGTAGAAATGTTGTAAACAGGATAAAAATATTAAAAAAAAAAAAAAAAACATTGTTTTGTTTTTCCTTGCTTCGCTCAGAATCTAATAATAATAATAATAATATATTATACTGTCTAATGTTTTCATTTAAAAGTCCATGCCAACTTAATTTGAAAACAACTAAAATGGCTTTGGGAGAAACGGGTATCCGGGCGAAATGGGCCGCCCCTATGTACCGTGTCATGGCAAGGGCAGAGGTAATCCATTTTAACACTCAGTTGAACTGAAGCAGTCAGCAGAATATATTATATCGGCATGCGAAACAGTCAAAGGTTTGGTTTTTATCAACAGATTAGTCAGGGAAATCTGTAACGGTATAATGGGTAAACAACCAATATTATACGGGGACAACCAAAGTGAAATTTGACTTGTGAAAACCCAGAGTTTCACAAAATGCCTAACTCATCGACGTCAGGTACAACTGGTAATCAGGGGAAAGTTTGGTGAAAACTTTTTCGACTACAATTCATTGACACGGAAGAACAATATGCAGACATTTTCACAATATCTCCAATAGATAAATTTGAAAAATTAAAACAAAAATTATTACTGTTGAACTACATTAATTCTTTATTGTATAAAATGTTAACAACATCGTTGTTATTTTCAAATTGTAAATCACGCTATAAGTCTAAAAGTGTTACAATGATACAAGGTCATTGTACGTATACGTCACTTGTGTATAGATAAGGCTGACTTTTAGCATACAGTATTACTGTAGGCACTATATTATAATATTACTTATGCGTACTTCATGCTTTAGCAAAATGCCAAAATATAACTTATTACTAAAAGCTGGGTAGTAATTTTTGCCTACATCGATCTACAAAAATAATCATAAACTTAACTTTTTTTTTTTTAGGAAATATTCAACCTATCTGTTTACCCATTTTATCGCATCTTAGAACCGACACGTTCGTTGGATCCTTCCTAATTGTTCTAGGATGGGGTGCCACAAGATTTCGTAAGTAACCAAATAATATATAAATATTGAGTATGAATACATTTACAGGCATTACAGCATATTAAATTATCAATGTATATTTTATAAGTTCAGCTTAATAATATTATATTTTTATTTTAGGGGGACCAAGAGCTACTTCTCTAATGGAAGTTGCAGTACGCGCGATGAACAATTCAGAATGTAAACGAGCATTTGACAAAAATAATGTCACTATTTATGATACAATGTTGTGTGCTGGATCGTCAATAGAACGTCGAGACGCTTGTCAGGTGCTGATTAAATACTTTATAATTTTTGTTGTGCATTTTTATAATATTTATAATTTTGGTTGTTATTTCAGGGAGATTCTGGAGGTCCCTTAATGTTGGCAGCTGGTTCTCATCAACATTATTTAGTGGGTATTGTGTCTTTCGGATATAAATGCGGTGAACCAGGTTATCCAGGTGTATATACTAGGGTGACATCATATATCAAATGGATCGAAGATAACATGAATTAAAGTTAAATTGTATTAATTAATAATGCTTTAGTTAAATTTTTTTTTATGTTTGAATCACTGGGTTACAGGGGGGTACTTCACCCGAGAAGGGTCGTCCTTCCCCCTATATCCGTATCATTTATTGACAATAATTAAATCATACAACAATAGCATTAGTACTACAAATTAGTACAAAAAAGAGAGGGCTCTACAACTCTAAAGATCGCAAATTATATGGCTTAACTAAATTAGTTAATTGCGTTGCGTTGTCTTACCCTTTCTTCGTGTTCCCTCATGGACTGCACGTGTTCCACAAATTTCTTCACCGCTTCTCAATTGCTGCGCTTCTTCAGCATTCTGCTGATTATGGTCTCCGGATTCATATCCTCCTCCAGTTCTACCTCGAGTGCCCGTCGCTCCCTCCACCATCGGCCGCATACGAAGAACACGTGCTCTGCATCGTCGATCGGGTAATGGCAGTCCACACAGATAGACGCCTCCAACTTCCAAAACCTGTGCAAGTACTGGCCAAAGCATCCATGATTGGACCGGAACTGTGTCATGTGGAAGTCTTCCTATTCGTCCATGACCCAATGTCCTGTATCAGCCTCCTCGTCCATTGTCCATTTCCTCCGTTGTCCCATTACGTCTGCCATTTGCTCATAACCTCTGCGCGGATTTCGCTCGATACCCTTGATGCATCCGGTTCGTGTACTTGTACTTCTCGGCTCTCTCCCAGCATAAAATGTGGGCCGGTATCAGTCCCGCAATCACCAACACGGCTCCAGTAGATACCGTTCGATACGTCCTCACGATCCTTAGGGCTATCGTTCTCTGAGGCCTTACTAGGTTTTCGACCATTCGGTTGAACACCAATGCTCCAGCCCATATCGGTGACGAGTAAAGGAGCTCACTTGCCACCACCGTCGACAGTAGCTTCCTTTTCCTCTGACCCGCACCCCCAATGTTGGGCATCAGTCTTTATATGGCAGATGCCATGCTCCGTGCCTTCACCGTCACTGCCTCCACGTGCACTCTGAAGCATCCTGTGTAGTTCCAGGCCAAAATATTTGATGATGTCTTCAGAAAACACTGTCTGCCAATTCGATTCGAACTCCCATCATCGAGAACACTGTCTGCCTGTAACCTAACCTAACCACAGGCATTTGATATCATGAGGGTAAATAAATGTATTATTACCCTTTGTGATAAGTATTGATTCATAAAACTAAAATGAAAACTTTTTTAGTAAATATGGTAATATACACAGGAAAATTTTAAAGTTTGTGTGCGGAGAGAGAGGCTGACATGGCGACATACCTCACCTAGGCATGGCAGATACATACGTGGGTGTTTGTTTTGGCAGAATTTATAAGTGGGCACCGGTAGGTATCTGCCATGCTCTGTGGGGGATGACGGCCTCTCTCTCCGGACACCGTAACTGCCAAAAGAAAAATGCCACCCGTGGCCGAGTTCGAACCAGTGACGGTCGCAACCAACGCCTTAGTCCGCTGGGCCACTCCGTTCCCCATTAAACATTTATTTGGCACTTACTTTATTATTTCCAGTGGTTATAAATGAGAATTGCATTAAACACATATTATGCATAAATCCAATTTTTTACTTACTCTAACATTGTCAATTTTGAAAATAGAAAAAAACTGTTGATACAAAAAATGCTTAAAAAAAAATACTCTACCTGAATCTGCAGAAAAAAACTGGGGTTGCCATTTAAAAAAAAGTAAGTTGTATTGCGCATGCGCGTACCGAGTGAGCTAAAAATTTGAAACTGGTCTGAAAATATGTATTTAAGTGCTCCCTATCACCTCCTGAAAATCCCAGTTCAATACAAGGTCATGCACCTGAGATATTTAGTGTTACCATAAATCGTGATCACACTGTATATATCGCACCCCTGAAAAAATAGTGACACAACCCAAAAAATACGATTACTATGAATGTGGTAATATGATGTACGGAGTACGGACAATTGGGACATTAAAACTTCTGCTGCACTGTGGCCTAAAAATTTTAGATGCGGCACTGTCTAAGCTAAATCTTGTACAAATTCAAAACCTATATATCAAAATTAATTTACAAGAACCTATAATTTAAGATAATATATCGAGGCGGAGTTCCATTCTCAAGTGTTGAGTAAGCTAGTTGGTGATATAAACAACCACAAAGTTGGTCACTTGGCCACATGCACATCATACAAAGTTCTAGGATATTATTTGAATAAAACCGCTTTGTATAGAGACCATTGAGTATTTGAGTGTTTGATTGTATCAAATTATACGATGCACTGACTTCCACTTCTTACAACATGAGCCAACCCTATTTTTAAAATTTGTTTTGGATATTTTTAAAACAAAATTATAGTAAACTTACTAAGTCCTTTAACCCAATAAGACTACTATAATTTGATTTCATAATTTTAGGTAATATATGTATAAAGTTCATACTTGTTTTTTTTTTTTACTTTTGGAAAAAAATATATACCTCTAAATACCGGTATTTACCTTTTACTTTTCTACTTTCATGTAAATTTGTTTTTTTTTACCCGCTAATGACTACATTGCTGAAGCCGTAAATCGTAATGAATATTTAAAAAATAAAAACATCGACCTTATACAGTAAGTGATAAGTCTTATCATTACTTAGCAGCCCTTCTAAAACTAGGGAGAGATTTTAGTGTTAGATACTGATTTTTGATTTTAATTAAAAATGTGGCTACAATAATAGTCCTTAAATATAATAATTCAATGATTATTACATAGGTAATAATTGATTTTACTCGTACAAAGGGCTTATTTCATACTGAAAAACTCTAACCCGACCTTCTTCATTATTTTTAAGATAAAATTATGTTGTCTTGTACTTTCATCACTAGATAGCACTGCATATTTGTTTTGAAATTTAATATTTTGATTTTTTTATTGTTGTGATCCAAGACAACAACAATAATATTTTGGTGTGTGGTAAATATCTAATGAGTCATGATTAAAAATTAATATTATTGATAATTATGCTATAAATTATAATTTATAACCATTGATAAATAAATAATGTTAAAGAGTTATAGTAGATCATTGTATAGGTAGGAAAAACGATTCTGAGCGAAGACATTGTGACGGATTATCATACTTGTATAGTTAATCAAATTTAATAGTTAAAATAAAAATTAATAGAAGTCGAAAATATCTCGTGGATATAAATAGTGAATTTTCCTGTGAGCATTTTCTTTTTGATAGTGGTAATAAAACTTTTTGGAAACCTTCTATAAAAATGTCTAATGTTATATATGAAAAGAAAAATGTTTATGAGCTTCTAACTGAAAAATAATTTACAAAATTTGACAAAAATTTTATGAAAATAAACAGCTCACAAAGAGACGAAAATGTTTGAAAATTTCACCATATATAGAAAATGCTATTATAAATATTTGGTGAACGTTTCAAGACGGTTATTCATTTTGGAAACACAACAAAATCTCAAAAATCGATAAATGAGAATTCGATCATTTAGCGCTGAATATCAAATATCGTAAATATTATAAGTTCAAACGCTCATAAATAATTAATGTTCTGTATAATATGTACATTTTTTTTTGTTATAGGTAGAAAAAATAATGATAAATCTTCTGTTAACATTTTAGATTCTGAGTGAAACGATGAATGTATTGATTTTACAATGATGTGTGTTTTTTTTAAATTTTTTAAATTTTTTTTAATTTATTTAAATTTTTTTTTGTGTCTGTCATCACGTTTTAGGACAGTAAAATTGCTTGGATTTTCTTCAACAGTAGCTTTTCTGATAGGAAAGTGAATCTAGTTGGTACTGTGGGGGGTCAAAAAATTTCCTAGTAGTTTTCACAAGCGCCGGGAAAAACAACATAAAATTAAGGAAAAACGGGAATTTTTACGCAAAATCGGTTTTCCAAAAAATCGATTTTGGTTTTTGGTGTAACTTTAAAACAAATGAACGTATATTCATGAAATTTTCATTGGTTGTTCATATTTGCATTTTCTATACACGATAACATTTTCAAAATATTTTGATTTATTTTGAACTGTTTAGGGACATTTTCATTTTCAATTTGTTTTTAGTTTTTTTTCTAAAAATATCAATAAAATTTTATTTGTTGGTTGCGAATGCTTGACAATTTAATAGAAGGCTTCTAGTATATTGTTTCAAAGGCAGATGAAAAATATTAAAAATCCTTTGGCACAATTTTTTTTATAAGCATTTAAATTTCAAAAGTTGACAAAATATGGAAAAATCCCGAAAATTAGCAAATTATTTTGAGTTAAGAATTCGTAAAAATTTTTCTTTTTAAATCTAAGATTTTAAAACGTAATACAAGATTCCTTATAAGATTATCTACCTTTATCAAAACAAAAATGTCTATAAGAAAGTCAAATTAAATTTTTATGAGCGTTTGAAATTCAAATTTTTACAACATTGGACATTTACTCGATTTCTCAAGTAGCGATTTCCTTATTTTGTTGTAATTAAAAAACTAATAACTGTAGATACATGAAAATTTTACTGAATGTTTATATTAGCATTTTCTATACACTGTACAATTTTGAAAATATTTTGACTTTTTTTTAGCTGTTTACGGACATTTTCAGTTTTAAATTTTTTTAGTTTTTTTTCTATAAATATCAATAAAGTTTTACCTGTTGGGCCAAAAAGTTTAAAAATTGAATACAAGGCTCCTGATATATTGTTACAATAGCAATTGAAAAATTTTAAAAAAAAATCGAATTTTGACAACATTTATCAAAATCTCGAAAATTATAAATCATTGTAATTAGGTAATAAATTATAAAATGTTCAGTTTTCATAGCTAAGGATTGCAAAATTTAAAACAAAGGTTCTCATTAATAGGTCTTACTGTAACCAAAAAATCTAAAAATTATATGAATACAGTTATTTTTTACAGACATTTTAAATTCAAATTTGGACGAAATTACATAATAAAAAACCTAGACTAACTATTTTAGTTATTTTGTTGTGATTGTATAATATTATTCGTGGGTACTTGAAACTTCAAATTTACACTATATTATATATCTATGATAGTATCAGGGTTTGTTATTGATGTATAACGTGTTATAAGTACCTAATGGATATTGTGATATGATTAATTTGGATTTCATTATAGGTCAATTTTTTTTTAATACCATAGATAAGTATATAACATGTCTTGTATCTAGAAGGACATACCGTCTCCCCTCAGAATCTTTTTTCTTATACAATGATATAATATCATTGAATTCAAATGTTATACCATCCATTATACAGTGACCCACTTGTAACCTACTGTACAGCAGAGCGACACCCACTTGCCCACCTTTTTTATAGTTAAGGATTGAAAATTTAAATCAAAGTTTCTCGAACATAGTTCATATTGTAACCAAAAAAATCTAAAAAAAGATATATGAACACTAAAACTTATTTTTTTTATAGACATCTGAAGTTCAAAATTTGGAAGAAATTTGGTATTTAAACGAAGAATAACAATTTTA